GCCCTGGTCCTCCCACAGCGGCTCCCCCCTCTCCTCCTCCGGGAACTGGCAGCTGCAGGCGTCCTCGGGCAGCTGGGGCGGTGCCTCCGGGAGCAGCTGGGTCTCTGCGGAGGGCTGCGGTCAGTGGTCAGCGGGCAGGCCGGAGCCCGCCCCCTGCCCCAGGGCACGACTGACCTGGGGGCCACACGCGCTGCCTCCTCAGCTGCCAGAGGTGCAGGCCGAGCTGGGCCACCACCAGGACCAGGACGCAGGCGGCCACGGCCAGGACGGCCGCCGGGCAGCGCGGCTCAGCAGGCGGCGGCAGCACCGGACCGCACACCGCGTTGTGCGTCTTGTTTCCAGGGAACATGGTGCGAAGCCCAGCCTGGGAGCAGCTGGACACACGGACACAGAGCCCTCGTCAGCCCTCAGCCGCCCGGCGGCCCCGCCCCACGGGGTCACTGGGCCCGGAGGGACAGGAGCCCCCCTGCCCCCCAGGACCTCCCAGGAGACCTGCCAGGACTCACTCGGCCCACGGAGTGCAGCGGCCCCCGCGGCCCCCGGAGAAGGTCCCGGCGGCACAGTCGACACACTTGAAGCCGAACGTGAAATTCCCTGGAGACAGACAGATGGACAGGAAGACAGGTGGACAGGCTGCGGGGCTGCCGGGGGGTGTGGACCCCGACACGCATCCCCCAGACAGAGGGCTCCAATGCCCATGGGACCAGGGCCTGGAGAAGCAGGGCCGGTGTGTGCTCAGCTTAGGGCAGGCATCTGTCGGGAGGCAGTCTTGGGGGGACCCAGAGGCCATGGGGGGACCGTTGGGGGTCTGCGTGGAGGTTCCCTGGGGGGACATGAGGAGGAGTAGAGAGTGTGAGGTGGGGCCAGAAGCGGGGAAAGCAGAGGCCCGGCCAGGCAGGCCTTGCGCTTGGTCCAGTGGCCAGAGGGCAGGAGGGGAGGGGAGGGGCTGAGGCTGGCGCCCCAGTTGACCCAGACCCTGCCACTGTCCAACCAGCAGGGCTCCCCTCAGTCTGCACCCCAGCCCCTCCCCTCAGGTAAACTGGCCCCAATAGGGTTTGAGCTGTTCCTCCCCAAAAGGGGGTGACCCCAGATGGGGCTCAGGGACAGGCTGTCCCCACGCAGATGGTCAGGGTGGATGCAGGCCCTGCGTGTGGTCAGAGCCCGGCCTGAGGACCGACAGCCCCTGGACACCCACAAACACGGCCCCCTGCTCCTCGGACCCGCCTCGAGGGGCCCAGGCTGGGCGGGGGAAGAACTCCCCGAAGCGCACTGACTGGGGCCCTGATAGCCACACAGGACGCTGGCGCCACCCCCGAGGACATGCCCACGCCCCCCATGGGTGAGCTTCCTTATGCCACTGGAGCTCCCACGCGGGGCTGGAGCGGCGTGGACACACGGACACAGGCGCGGACTTACCGTAGGCCTTCGCCCCCTGGCCGGGCGGGCAGGGGTGGTGCTTGCAGGTTGTGCAGTCGGGGTCTGCACAGTGGAACTCGGACTGGACGCACGTGCAGCGCCCCTCCGGACAGGCCTCCGCTGGGCAGGAGACAGGACAGCCCTCTCAGCAGCGGGCCGAGCCCCCCTCCACAGGGCGCCCCACTTCTCCGGCCTCCAGGGCCAGGGGGTCAGGGCAGGGCAGCCCCCACCCTCCCACACCACGAGGAGGCAGAGGGCACCCGGGAAGCCTTGCTCCGTCCAGCTGGGTCCCTCCCTCCTGGACACCCACTCCTCCTAGGAGGCCTGGCTGCCCCCCACCCCCTCCCGCCCTGAAACTGCCCACCCAGGCGGCCAGGAGCTGTCCCTGC